GTCTGGAGGAATAACAACATTGGAGGCAGTGCAACAGGTTACTACAAAAAAACTCTATTTTGAAAAACAAACCGCCACTGATTTATTCAATCAAAGGAACAGCAGGGATGGGCAGCTTTACCCATGTAAGTTCATGGGTTAGTACAGTCCGGAACAGGCATATCAATGAAGCAAATATATCGCGAGGAAAAACCTATTAGTAATCACGTTGAACACCCCATCTCAACAATGTGTGTTACAGGGCATGGTAAACATCGTGGCCATATAGTGTGGATTTGAGATATAGGAAGCATATCTGGACAGGCAATGCTCACCACTGAGTGGGACTTGAATCTTAAATGGGACATGCTCCTGGAGGGAAAAATATATACAGAAAAGATAACTTACCCAGTCACAGCTACACTGAAGCTTGAAGGATAGTAACAGTTCAAAGGCAGTACCCGGGTTAGAAATAAACAGTTACATAATGAAGACAGTGGGAGATGAACATATGAGGTAAAGGCAATATGCCTGACTTAATAGTTTCCTCCTATGAATGACGGAAATGAGAATTCAGGAAAAAAGTGAAGTTGCTTGATCACAAAGTCTACACATGAATCCAAACACTCTGGAAAATCTCTAAAAACAAACAAATAGGAGCCAACAAACAAATAGAAACGGAGCCATCCAAAAGTCACAAAGATAATGGGAAGGTAGATGAACCTGTGAAAAAACACTCCTTTCCAATAAGATCCCAACAGCAACAAAATCACATGTAAAGGGATGGGGCTGAAAAGGATAACAGCACCAATGGGGATTAAGGAGGAAAAGTGTATCCCCAAAAAACCTTCAGGAGATTGGTGGAGTGCCTCAGAAAGATGTATGTTGGAAAATACTGAAGGAAAGGTGTAAAGGTAAGACCAAGGCAGAAGAAATTATAGGATTATCAGGGATCATATGTTCTCCATTCCTCAGCCCTGGCTGTCGCTTCCTTCCTCCTGGTCTGGTCTTATACTTGTCCTAATTCCACAGGGTGAGAGGATAATGGAGGTGCAGAATTGAATGAAAAGACCAACCTCAATACCAGAACCTGATATACCCATGAATCTGCAGTGAAGGAATACCAGGTGTCCATTAATAGTTGTAACTTCACTCTAACTGACCTCCCCACCTAACTAGGTTGATACCAATGCCACTGGCATCAATTGGCCAAAAGGGAGTGACCCTGAAACTGAGGTCCAAGCTGCTAGAGCCAAAGAAGGCAGAGAGGTCAACAACAACAAAAAGGAAATGGGTGATGGCAATTTACAATATAAATGCCTCTGGGATACCCACGAACATCAAGTGACTATAAAAAGAAGCCACATGTAACACACAGAGGCTACAGCAGGTAGAGGTATCTGTACAGGAGGAACAGAATCAGTCAATCTGACCAAGGTAGAAGTCATTAGGAGATCTCATTCATCCACAAATTATGTGGGGACCATTGATAGGCTGCCAACAATTTTTGGGGGGAAGAAATATAACACAGCAAGAGTGAGAAGCAAACAAATACAAAAAAAATTGAGATTGGTTCAAAGTGATCACACGAACCAGCCTGGAACTCCACACATAAAAATTAAGAATTTTAGTCTGTGGAACTGAAAAATTATGTCCCCCTGGAGGTGGAAAGCCAAAGCATGCCAGCAGACAAATGAGGGTACAAGTTGAAAAATGAAAAACTAAATAGTCCCCCCCCCCCCAACCTGTTCCATCATCAAGAGAGAAGTAGACTCAGAGGTCACAGAGGAAAGCCCCAAAATCTCATAAACCCAAACAACTAATTGAAGAAAAGGAGTAGGGGGTGGGTGATCCAAATTGGACTTGTGAGAAGCCGACTTAGTAGAGAAAAGCATCAGAAAAACAAGAGTCCAAATTCTCCCCAGAACAACATAGAGAGACTCTAGATAACAAAGGAGGAATAGGGGAGGTCAGATTAGCCACCGTTTTGACAGTGGTAATAAGGGGATTCATACCTGCAAACCCCACGTCCAATTTTTTTTCTTTTGTTAATAGGAAATTATAATTATATGGAAATCCACAAGGTGACATATAAAATCACAATCCATAATGGAACGAAACACAGCACTTCATCAGAAAAAACCGTAACCAATGCTTTGTTAAGAAAAAGCGATTACATTATCTGAGTGAGGTGCTTATATACAGTGTCAGGATACAGGGTGCATTGACACGGGTGAAGGGATTTGAAAATTAGATATTGTGAAGAGCATTTAAGTGGGGTATAAAAGGCTGGAGCATGCAAGACCAGTGCTTAGATAGGCAAAACCAACATCAAGGAATAGCTACAGTGGCAGCAGAGGGTGTGTTTTGGAATTATGGGAAACATGGCCATTAAAGCTGAGGCTTTAAGGGACCAACAGTTATTATTTAGACAATACTTTGAGGATGTGTATCATACCCAAACAAGATCCAAGGAACTACTAAGAGCTAACAAGACACTTACTTTAAGAAGTTTCTTTAATTATGTGGGTAATTGACACAAGTGTACATAACGAGAACTCACTTCACATGTAGACATGGATGCGAAGTTATGCTAGCTTCAAACAGTTTCACTGTTTATGACAGGAAACCCCGAGTACTATATGGTGATTACTACAACAGAAGTTGACAACAGGGATGGTGGTCATAGTACCACTTAAAACTGAAATACTCATACCAGGAGTTATTAGAAATACATCTACACCTAGTGATTGGGGTTAAATTGAACACACCTGAAATAAAAAGACACTATGATGCTAATGATGATAAGACACCAAGAAAGAACAAATTCTAAAGTTCTATCGAAATCAGGTATTTTAGTACTGATTATGTGTTGCGAAAAACAATACCAAACTGAACAATTCAGGGAGCACAGTTTAGAGCTGAAAGTAAGCTTTGATTAGACAGTCATACCTAGTTTTAATACCAGCCTGTATGATCAAGAGGGGAAATTGCTGAGCATAGATGTTTTCTTATAAATAAACTATTAAAGAAACTTACAACGAAATGTGTAATAAAAAAAAATATACTAATTTTATTGTTAGGACAGCCTTCTAACAATCCATGTAAACGATACTACATAATTCATTTTTAAATGTGAGAGACTTGTTTCAAAATGTTGCAACATGCAACAGAAGGGCTATCTTCACACAGCTGTCTCTAATAATCAACTGACAGACTAAAGGGATTACAGCTAGCCAAAAGCACCCACTGCCAACTCTGGGGGATACTCTTGTCTGACTATATACTTGGATTTGACCATCATTCTTACAGCATAAGAATGACTCCCAAATCTGAGTAGCATTTTTGAAGCCATTGTTTGTTAATCATAACTTCTCAGGTTCAATTTCCTAGCAAGCTAACCACTAGGCCACACCTAATGTAAAAGTACTTTTGATATAAATATTATAAAGGGTTGTAGATTTTATTGTGAGAAATATTTCTAGTGCTCATGATTTTCTAGTTTCCTAAACATGGAAAGAAACCAAAAACAAAACTGTGAACATCACAACTTACATCCGGTGTTAAAACAACAGAGCCACCCTCATTAACAGTCACTTCGGTCTTCAACCCCCTCTTCCAAACAGGATTTTGATCATTTACAGGCTCAACGTCTACTAAAACATTTCCAGAAACAAAATGTTTACCATCACTGACACCTACAGTGAAACTGTCTGATATGGATTCAGAACCATCATGAGAATATCTGAAAAGCATAAAACAGGAATGATGAAAAAAAAGTGATTGCCAGTATGAAGTTTTAACAAACAAAAAGTAGATGATGCTCATCTTTCAAAACATAAAATAGAAAAGTCTTTAAAAATTATACCTTTGTGTATTGTACTAGTTTCTGTAGCATATGTAAATCAAGCTAGTAATCATCTCTTAAACTAAAAATGGAAATGAAATGCACAAATATTATTACAGTTACATATGTTTACTTAGCAGTTTTACATATATGGATTGATACTGTTCTTGATGTGGAAAAATATCCTGTACAATGTGGAAAATAAAAAAATTCTTTCATTATAGCAACTTTTACTTTTATGTATAGAAACATGTACTAATTGTTAGAAATACAACCAGAACATCCACTGATTTAAAGAAACAGCTTTCAATACACATTCCTTCTAACAGAAGGAATGTGAAAGAATAACCTACTAGCATCACTTACTCCACTTGAAGGGTCAGAATATCGTCTAGAGAAAGAAGGTCTCCTACCCGCAGTACCTGGCCACCTCGCAAAAGTGAGCCATGAAGAGGAACAGTAAAAAGACTGATCATAAGCTTTGAAGATAAGGTGTCCAGATCATGCACAGACACCTCATTTGTTGAAAGAAGTGTTGAAGACCCTTCTTGTACCAGAATGTGTCCTGTGTAAAGTTTAGGAGCCTATAAAGTTCAAAGGTTGAATCACATCACTGTATGAAACCAAGAAAGTATATGTTTGTTCACACTACAATATAATAATTTTCATCCCTAGAGTATCGACTTTATTTTTCTGGACAAAACTAAAATTTAGACTTCACAAAGCAAAAACTTCATGCACCTTCAAGTATACACATATCTCAAATCTGAATGTTATCCTTATATCGATTAAATGCTCAGAAACAAATAAATAAAGCTAAGGAACCAATGATTATACTTATATGCGAACTAGTTTACTATAAATACAAGAAATCTCCAACAGATTCAGTAAATTATGAATCAATTAAGTATTATCTGTTTCTACAAATAGTTTTCATTTTAACATAACATGCAATTTTTTCTTCCTCTATAAAGCACAATGTATATATTTTTTCATTGTCCAAAATAGGCATAATGTTTTATGGTCAATATCTTCAATGACTGAATAAATCTTTTGTTTTATTACAATAGCACTAAACAATTGTTATAAATATGACACTTATTCTAGCCTCAATGACTCATATATATATATATATAGGTGTGTGTGTAAACTGATATGTGTATGAGTATAAATTTATTTTACATACATTTATAGACAAAATAGCATTCTGGAACCAACTTCCCATGACAGTAGTGACACTCAGAATTTCTATTATGTAATGTTTAATATAAAACACATTTACACTGTTTCCAAATGTTCTGTTACTAAGATCAGGCTTTTCATTTTTAATATTCCCTTATTCTTAATGGTCTCCTTATCTAAGAATGAATACTGACTTACTGGAAAGGTTCAGAAAATGGATACTAGAATAATTCCAGGGATGAAAGAATTGCCTGATGGGGATAAGTTAAAAATCTTTACCAAATCTTACCAAAGGTTATACAATTATCTGGAGGACTGATAGAATAGAAACCTCTGATTGCTTTGTGCTATACTCTAATAAAGACAACAGAACACAAATTTAAGATATGAGAAAGATAAGCTAGGCTCCAGTTAAGACAGTGATATTCCCTGTCAAATAAATGGTAGGTATAAATTTCTACTTTTTCTCGAGAGTGAGTGTGCAGGGCTTGATTTCTAAATTTTGCACATAGCTACAAGAGGGCTATTTGCACTACCCATCCCTAATTTAGTAGTGAAAGACTAGAGGAAAGGCAGCCAGTCATCACAACCCACTGCCAATTCTTGGGCTACCCTTTTATCAACAAATAGTGGGACTGACCATCACATTAGAACATCCCCATGGCTGAAAGGGCAAGTATGTTTGGTGGGCCAGGGATTCAAAGCCACAACCACCTGGCCATGCTGGGCCTGGATGTGTTGGGACAGCCTTGAAGAACCAAATCATTCCTTGATGTCTGTATTACTAAATGATGGGCAAAAATGTATTCATAAATATCATATGCAAGTTTACTGCAGAGAATATCTAGTTTTTTAACTAATTGCTAACATTTTTCAATAGGTCCTAAATTATGAAACTTTGATATAGCTTGAAAAATGTGCAAATCACATCTAGTTAATTAACTTAGAAGATTAAAAGAAATATCTGAAACTTGTCATGGAAAACCAAAATTTTTTGATGCAAATTTACCAACACTAAATTAAATAAGTTAAAAGGATTTAAAATACAAGACACATTATTAGGTCCTAAGTTGTGGTTTCCAAAATAAATAAACAAAGGTTTACTGTGCTGGTTATCCCTAATTTTGAACTGATAGACAAATAGAAAATAAGGCAGCTAGTCAACAGCACCAACCATCAACTTTTGGGCTACTCTAATCATACAATGCAATATGACTATCTCTCTTACAGCATGCCCAAAGTGCAAAGCATATTTTGCAACAAAAGGATCCAATCTCTGAATCTTGGATAAACAGTCTGGCATGTTAACTATTAGGTACACACTATTAGAAACAAGAAAAATTTTTTAAAGGGAAACTGAGTAATACTAAACTACTTGGTCAGAGTTTAATTAGAAGGTAACTCCTCATCCAGTTATGAGGAAGAAGTTTCATTACATCACTTACTTAGCAAGCAATAGCTGAATGAGTTGAAAAACATTTGAAATTGGAAGTAAAATATAAATTGTTTTGTAATTTTAATAAGTTCAGTACTGTATGAAAGAAATGTTACAAAAACTGAACTTTTGTAATTTTACATGGTTTTCAAAAGTATATAAACTCAAAATCATTATTTTATGAGTTCAGTTCAAAATGTTAGTTGAAAATATTATAATCTATGAACAAAGTCCCAAGATTGCTTGGTATGTTTACAAGCTAACCAAATATGGAAAGTTAAGCTGTAAGTTGTTAGAAAGTAAAAGACAAGTTATTTTCAGCAGTTAAATGTTTTGAAGTTGAACAATGATATTTTCAGTCGATGCTATAAATAACATTACATATTATTTATTCACTTAATTCAAATCTATAGTCTACTTGTCTTAATAGAAAACACTGACCTGATTATCAACAGGCAAAATAGTAATGTTGAAAAACTGGCCAGTAACAGTATTTCCTTGACGATCAGAAACTGACATGACCACCTGCAGGGTTTGGGGGTTTGGCCCTACATCAGATGCTGGTGGCATATATGCCACTTTGTGGTGCCTTATTTCCTCTTGAGTAAAATATGTTAAGCTTGGAAGGGTGAAATTTTTCTTTAATGACACCTGACCAGCAACAGAAACAAACTTTCCTGCATCTAAAAATGTCACAAGATTTTTGAATTCACTAAAACATTTTGTAATATGTTTCAAATGGGGGTTAAAGAAATGCTACAGATCAAAAGTTTTAAAAAACTATATATTCTAACAAGTAATAACAATTAAGCTCATAGTATAATCATAACTTATTAGAAGTATTCATGAAGTTTTCTGCCATTGATGCCAGTTTACTGTTTACCAGTTCTTCTCAAGGAGTGTAAAGAATGCATAATTGGTATAGAAAATAAATAAATAATAGTTATTAACTTTTACCCTAATTCTGATTTGTAAATGACTCAAATAAAATTGGTAATAATTGTTCACGTAACTGATGACATAAACAGTGTTTAGACAACTAGTCTGTCAAATCCCAGCAGACTAGATAAACTCTGGATTTGGCCAAAAGGTCTCATCAGCACTGGATATGAAGGATATAGTATGGTTGACATATCATTATCTTTTCTTTCACTCATAAGTTCTTCGAATAAACTTTTGTGTGTTTGTGTTTTTAATTAAATCTTTCTCTTTTATAAACAAATAAGGCATACAGACAGGCAGATCAAACCACATAAATGCTACTAAAGAAACAAAAGTAACCAAAATATAAAAAATTTTGGTATTTCTCCATACTTAGAAACACAATAAAGAAGGACTGAGCAGAGGAGAGACTTAAGGCACTAAAGAAAGTAATGCACATTTATGAGACAAAAGGAGTCAAAATATTAAGGTTAAGAACTGTTTAATTATTAAAATATCAACATAATATTACCTACTAGTTGAAACAAGTCATTAAGAATCTTTAGTGAAGATATGCATTTATAGTTATTATTAAAATTTTACATGGAAGTTCCTCTGATGTACATTAACATTCAAACTGCCAACCTGTATTTTAGACAATGGCATAGAATAAAGATATAATACTATATCTTTTAGGAACAAGAAAATAAACTCCATTTGTCTCAAATTAATTCAAATTAACTTGCAGGTTTTAAATATCTATAGTAAATTTCACCTTGTCCTTTTGTAAACCTGAGGATTTTCTAAGTAGGTTAATGCACTGAAATTATCAAGCATTTACAAATGGAAACAAACCTGTAATTTTTGCTGAGAGTAATTCAGCATCGTTAGGTTATTGTAATTCTAGAAAAACAAAAATTTATATTACAAGTTACTACTAAGCGTATGACAGCTACCACAGCTGCATCAAAATGTAGCAAAAATGGAATGACCTCAACTTATGAAAAAGGTAATTCTTTAGCTTTCTGTAGTTTTTAATACTGGTATTTAATAATAAATGTAGTATTTACCTGACAATGCAAATGATCCTATAAATCGAGGAGAACTTGTAACAGTAAAAACTACTTCACTTGGTTTTGAATCAAGATCAACATAATGTAACATGTCTTGGGTCAAAATTCCAACCACATCTTCCTTAACTTCAAGATGAAGAGAACAATTGGGATGACGCTGAGGAGGTTCGTTACTAGCAGGATTAATTCCCACAAGAACCTTGTATGGAAAAGATTTGTTGGGAGGATCACTTCCATCCATCAATATTACTTCAAATGAATCCATTGAGCCCTAATAAAAAGAAATCATTATTAATAAGCTCTGATGAACTAAGAACATTGTGAAAAAATATAGTATTTCTAGCAGGAACTCCTAAAACCTACATTATAAGTTTAGCATTTTTAAATAATTTGATTTCTTTTTCTCTGTAAAAGAAAACAATAAAGATCATTGATATGATTTCAGAAAGCTATGATATTTTGTACCAGGAATGATGCCTTATAAATAAAAACCAGGGAAAGACTTCAGATATTTTCATTTACATTAGCATCTGACTGGTTCGATGTCAAATAAAAGGCAAAACTTTGAGATCACATTTCAGTTTCCCATAACTTAACCCAAGTATCATGTTTAACACGATCATATCCCCTGAGATGTTGTAAAGTTATCTCAATTTTCTTTAAGTTTTGGTATGTATAGAAGTATAAGATATACTCAGTTTCTCAAAAATACAAAAGTTTACATGTACACTCTTATAATTCCATGTGAAATTTACTATTCAATCCTTTGTTTTTTAAGCTGAAAAAAAAGTTTTTTATGTAAAAGTTCACTACAATATTACAAACTAAATTTAATGAGTGTACCGTTGATAATTCTTTGCTTTTTTTTTGTTACTCATAATAATGTTATTCCTAAGTTATTGTCAGCCTGGAAATAGTGGTTGGGACTTAGTTATTTGTCAAGCATTAATACTTACCAGACAAACAAACAAACAAACAACAACAAAAAAATTCCAACTAAAGCTTTATGGAAATTTAACTTTTTAGTGTTATTTTTGCAAAAGTAGGAAGAGAATATTTTGTATATTTGAGCATTAGCCTCAATTATGCTTGTGTGATTTTCACAGTATCCCCTACGTCTAGGCACTTCTAATGAAAAACAGGGCTGGCATTAATACACAATTTACAGCATCAATGACAACATCCATAAAATCTGATGGCCATGTTTTAAAAACACTATCAGTACTGACACAGAGCTTTTAAAAGTTTACTTTATACAGCTTCAGTGAGTTGAAGATTCCAATAGACAAATAAAAAAAAAGTTATAATAATAAATGCAGATCTGACATAGATATATAACTGTATAGGTTACCATTTCTGTTGTTTAAATTAAGCAAAAAAGTTATCTCTTGATAAGCTTATGTTGCTATTTGTCAGTAAGCAGATATCTTCTGTACCACTCATTTAGCTGTCAAGCAATAAGAAGAGTCTTAGAATTAAAAATTTAATGGCATGGATTTAGCAAAAAACTTGAGTTTTGTTTATATAAGAATGAGTGACAGTGCAAAACTTTATAAAATGTAGCATCTCAGTCAAGGTTAAAATACACTTTATTACCAGTATTTAATATATATTGATCTCAAAATCCTTTGCCTAATCCTCTACATCTAAAGCAAAGTGAGCCTCATATTTGTGAACAGTGTTGGGCATGTTACAAGAAAAAAGTAATGGTGTTACTTAGGCCAGTACCTGCTAAAAATAGTAATGTCTTTACCCAAAACATTACTTATTAAAAATGTAAGAAGTAATGAGTCTCTACTCATTATTTTTTGAATAAATACCTGTATTCTGTATATAAAGCATGCACTGTGTACAATTTATATTGTATTATATACATACATATACAGAACTGAACTAAAAGCATTGAATTCAACACAAAAAATGCATTATACATTAAGAGGTTTTAGAATAGTAATTAAAAGAGCTACTTTTATTTTTCCTTTATAATATTCAAAGTAAGAGCAATGTATAACTTACATAATACAAGAAAAAGAAATACAAATGACTAAATTAACTAATATGTAGCCTATCAGTTAGTGTGAAATAATCCAGAGTTTACATCATGTAATAACTACAGTGTTAAAACGATTATCAAGAGAGGCCAAATCACTGTTATATTTCAAGGAAACAGCTTTTTCGAAGTTTGTATCCAACATTCCTCCTCTTTTTTGCCCTCAGCACATCTTTTCCAAGTGAAAAAACCCTCTCAACTGCAGCACTTGACAGAATAGCTGTATTTAAAGAAATGATAACTGACTTTAAGACTGCGTTTGGAAATGTGTCATTGTGAACAGATTTTACAAGAGATTTTTCTAGAAAAGCACCAACTACTTGAGCATTTTTATGTCCCCTTTTTTTTGTAGGCATCTAAAATAATCATATTCATCTTCTGTTTCTGTTATGCTTTCTTAATTAGGTGATTCTGTTCCATATTGTGCTGTGTGTTCTATCTTTGAGATCACTTATTTTCGAACTTGTTCCTGTCGATTTTCTGGAAGCCAGGAGAGCTAGAAGCTAGGATAAAAACATGCCAAAAGAATTGAATTCTCATCATTGTACATATTGTCAAACCTAGTTTCTATGCTTTGAATTAATACTTCATCTTGCAATTTACAAATTTGCAACAATTTATTGTTCAAATCACCCAATATGGCTAGACAAACACACAAGGTAGGAATCAGAAGTCCCATAAAAGCTTTGTTCTCACACTGCAAGATGTTAAGTACTCTAACAATAGGTCATGACTTGAACGTATTCCAAAATGAAAATTTTCTCAGCTGGATTCAGCCACACAATGCCCAATTGATCAAAAACTTTGTTTAGTGTTTGATCACTTGAATAACTCCCAGATATTAACTTATCTACACAACTGAGAGCATCAAACACTGAATTCCAATGAGATGGATAAGAAACAACCAAGTATCCCCTATTTCTTTCTCTATTGTATTGGCAGCTACAGTACTTCTGCTCTGTTTACTCCATAGGGTTTGAACATTTTGCTATTGCTGATCGAGACACTTTTTTATACTAGTGTTATTTAAAGCTTTCTCTACATCAGTAGTAGCAACAAGAATCAATGTAGGACGGCACACCTTTGATGGTCTGGCAAAATGCATATACAAGAATGAGATGACACCACATCAGCTAAAGAATAAATTTCTACAGCATCTTCATCTGAGACATCATCTATGACTACATTATCACCATTACCAGCAACATCACCATGCAGTTGGTCAGGAGAGATGGTGGATACATCACTGGAGAACAGTCTGTAAAATAAATTATAATTTTATTATTTCAACTTACAACATAAACAAAAAATAATAAATTTGACATTTAATAACACGGCCGATAATCCAACCATGAAAGGCAATGTTACGATCTGACGTCCAACCAAGCGAACCAGAACATCCAATCAACAAATGCTTACAAATAGGAGTAATATTATATTATCCCAATTTGGATGCATTTGTTGTGTGTGTGTGTCTGTATGAGTATATATAATTAACCTTTCCACAATGATGAATGGTCTGTTTAATATTATATTCTGACTAACACCAAACAATTTTATTAAGATTAAGGAAAGACTCCCAGGCCTGAAAGGGATAATTATATGAAGGTAGGCTGTAATTTATATCTGTTATATAGGTAATATATATCTTCTATCCCCCCTTATTTCATTCCCTCCTTCATTTATTAATTCATTCCCCGTGTTTGTATAATACAAACTATTTTCTCACTTTCATTATGTATTCTTATTGTGATATTTCAAAGTGTCTCTCTAACTGGCCAAAGCATGCGTGACTTCACATATAGGAGTCATTCCACAGAGGCAGTAGACCGGGCATACAACACACAGTCGCAGTGCACCTGACTAGGGGCTATTGCTTGTATGCCATAATTTAAGTATACAGGCAAACTCACATAACTTTAAAATATGCCACTGACCTGAAAGCCTTGATGAAGTTACTGCCATTGTTGTAGTCTTGACAATTTTGTTCTGGATCCACTATTCAACATGAGGTCATAAGCATGACATCCTTTTATATGATGGCAGGTGATAACTGTGCATTCATGTTCCAGCATATCTTCATTTATCTAGCACACAGTGACTCCTAAATAGACTCTGAAATAAAATAATAGTGCTTTTAATAACAAATAAGTTAACTTCAATATCTAAAAATTAACTATAGTAAATATGGTGACAATTTAATAAAATATCAATGTTCTCAAGTCAGGTGTGAAAATCAAACCATCAAATTTATATTGTTAAAACAATGTGAGAATATTAGAAACTAAAAACTCAGAGATTATTTATTAGTTACTTACCTGTTTCTGCAACTCCAGCAATCAGCAGTTGGAGCAACAGTCTTTACTACTACTAGATGGGACTTGAGAAGGCTAACTTTTCCTCATGGATGTCATTCATTTGCCTCATTAATATTCTTAGAGAAATGACTGTTCTTGTTGGCTGTAGTGATGTGATTAAATTTCTAAAGTACATGAACTCGACACCACTAAATGACAAAAATTCTGAAACCACAAAGTCTAATATTAGTTCATTCAGCTTTTGAGACACTCGAGAGCTTTGCCCAAACTTTTGTTTTTCTCTTGATGACCAACTGCAAGTTTTTAGGTGTGTTATCGTTACCTTCATTTGCTTTCACCGCTCGTTTTGTGACATACCTTGTTTCATTATAGACTCAAATTCCTTAGCAATGGAGAAATGTTTTATGAACACATCTTTAAAGTTGCTTGGAGATTTACTGTTCACACTAAAAATTTTCTTTGAAGGCAAACAAAGCAAGCATTTATATTATAAGTTGTTACTATTACTTCTTCCAGTAAACTTAAAATATTTATTGATATGACTACAGATTACATGGAGTTTTGCTTGAACTGTTATCACTTTCGTATGACATAGGCTGTACACAATAGAAAATATATACCAAAGGTATCCTTGATTAATGTGACGACCCTCACTACAAGTCTACAAATTCATATATCAACTAAAACATGTTTCAGCAGGAATACATGTGAAATACTTCATTCCTCTGCAGTTCCAATATTTCTGTTATTTAAAAAAATACATTATTTATTATATTTTTGGCCATTTTATTAGTTTATTAATTATTGTTATTGTTTTAATTAGACAGTTTTAACTACTAATTGTTATTAGTTATTTTATATTTTTAAGCATATTAGTAACTATAAAATTACTGAATTTAAAAGTAATGAGTAACAAATAATGAGCTGTTTTGACTAAAAATTTATTGACATTACCAAAAACATTACTAAATTTGAAAAGTATTATTTTTACCTTGGACATTACTGCCCAACAGAAGTTGTGAACCTAGTACAAGCCTTAAAGTTATTTGAATATGTAGTTAAATTTCATATCCAAGTTTGATAACTTAGTACAAATGCTTGTATTATTTGTATTTGGTTACTAACTATTCTTAGTAATGATACTAAAACAAAAAAGATAAACTTAACAGATACTGTGAATTTTCTGTATCAGATACAGAATTTAATTATAACAGTGAAGTCAATTATAGTTAACTGGATCTCACAATCTATATTACCTAGTACAAGTAAGAATATGCAGTTTCACCTATAAATTTCACTGCATGCAAAGAAGTATAGAAGCACTTCAATCCATGTTGTAGTTCTAATAAATCGACTTCAATTAAAATTAAACTTTAAATGGCCACTGACTGTTCTCAGAGGTTAATAAAAAATTCATACATCCATACATTTGTGACTGATCATTTTGTGGAAGACTATACAAATTCTACCATAATGGAAAAACATGACTGAAGATATCACAAATTTCATTTCATTGATATTTCATTGGTGATAGTGTCCAGGGTCACTGATGAGGAGTGGAATTCTCCGAAACTAGTCTGGCTCACAGACACGCACACCTCAATAAATGAATAGACCATTCCAAGCTTTTACTTGTTGTTAAACAAATGTTTAAACAACTCTACTTATTCAATTGAGACTAATATGTAAAAATGTGAAAAACCTTCTCTTACATTATTTTCCTATGTTAATTATTTTGTGTTATTTCTACAAGAACAGCTTACCTTGTTTCCAAGGTGATGATAATAAATAAGTTCATTGTTTATGTCCCCTTGTGTGAAGTTCTGAACTTCTACTCCCACTACTTCCCATACATGTTTTTTCCACAGAACTCCAAATTCTGCTTTTTTCTTCACAACATATGTAATGTATTGGTCTTCTGAGTCTTGATCAGTGGCATTCAGCAGGGTAGGAGTTATTATAGTTAACCCACCTTGCACTAACTGCAAACCCACATTTACTGTTAATACTGGTGGGTCATCATCTTTTGGAAGAACTGTAACTGGGAATGCTACCAAAGTAGATTGTGACTTATCAGTCACTCTTAGATGAATGGTATCTTTAGAAGAGTCACTGTCATCATGATGGTATACCACATGGCCACCAATTAGATCTGCAAGAGTGAAAGAAATATACGACTTTCCACCTACTTTCAGCTGACCATGTTTCAAACCCCCTGACACAAACACTTGAACTTCTTCTATATTATCTTTATCCACAACTTCAAGGTTCTGTGGCAGAAGTGGACGTGACTGACCTTCAAGAAGCACTAAGCCAGAGCTAACAGACACTCGAGGAAATGATGCTGTTGATGACCGTATAAAAATATGAAGCTCTACTGGATCACTTTCCTTAAACTCTGCATCTAACACTATAAATTTAATTGATAAAGTCTGGTCTGCTGAGACAGGTTTAGTTGAGGGTTTATAAGCTATATCTCCATTTTCAATATCACTCTGGCGAAATGAATAAATCGGTTGTGTGTGGTCAGACAAATGTACAATAAAGCCAACATCTGGTGTGAGTTCTGTACTAACATTAAATATTAATTTTCCTTTTGGAGTCTCCCCATCTGAGGCTGAAAGGACATTTGGTGTGATTGGAGTAAGTATAAACTGCTGAACAGCCATCAGAAATGTACTAGAAAAAGAAGCCTTTGGTGGAAGATTTGGAAATCCTGATTTAATTTCCACTGGTAAAGTGACCCACTCTGTCACCAAACCACCTCCATTAAGGTGAGGATCACTTGTTTCCACCAACAATAAGATATAATCTGTATCTGGAGTTGGTGGTTTTAGATGCTCATATTGAAGGTCAACTTGCACCAAGTCATCACAGTCAACTTTTATTACATCAATGAATCTTCTCTGATGTCCAATTACAATTTGACCATATGCAGGCCAACTGCTTTGATGGACTGAAAAACGAACTTTGCAAGATGCTCCATCCTGTTTATTGTACAAGAACTCAAGATTTTTCTGCGATATAGGTTCTGATACACCAAAGAAATCTTCCACTACCAGTGGAGCTTTAACAACTGTTACATCAAATTTAACACTTTTTATATTGATCGTCAGTGTAACCGAGCGAGAGATAGTGTTGTTAACAGAAAGCTTGTAAGCATATAACTTAATAATGTCCTGCTTTATAAAAGGTAACCCGAAGTGGGTGTATCTCACCCTGTCAGGTTTGAAGAAACAGTCAAAGATCTGAAACAAAAGATAAAAAAAAAGTAGTAAAACAAAATGGAATGGGAAAAAATCTTATTCATAATAATACAACAATCTGTCCTTTGAAAAGCATCATTGTTTATCTGATCAATTATAACTTGATATGTAACTGTAAAGCGATATATAGTAATAAAGGATAAATTACAAATTGGGAACCATAAAAAATGCTACAGTACATTTGTGAGTAAGCATTTCATCACTTTTGCATTTTAAAAGAAAAAGAGTTCCTAGGAATCATATTTTGTCCATAATTTTTGAAACCCTAAAAAAAAATATATTTTTCTTCTAATAAGTAGCAGAGCTGACTGGAGATGTTTGAACATATTTTAGAAATATATATAACCAACTATATTTATACATTTCATATGAATTCCACATTGCTTTTGAAAATTATGTGGTACTCTTGTACTGTGCTTGTTGTCTAAGGTCACAAAGTTGAAGTGTTTCAAAATAGGTGAAAAGCAATCCACCCTGAATGGGACATAAACTGTTCTCATGCTAGTGTTTTGAGGTCAAAGCTAATTAGCCTAGAAGGAGATTCTCATTAGATCTGATTTTTCAAAATTCATTCAACATCCTTTAAGGAAATGATCTAACTTTATTTTTTGTTAAAGAAAACCTAACAAATATTTTCATACGTTTTTATGTCAAAATGTGGTATCAGTTTTTTTTCAGGGTTCCATATACTCCCAACCAAAATCTGTTGATGGGAAGTCACAATCACCACCCATATTTCTATAAACCATTAAATCACAATTAAACATCTTATAGGATTCAAATTTTCCACTCTTAACCCTACGTTAGTCTTCTGTAAAAAATTTCCATAGTCACTCTTCCGGGGTTTGAGCGGACCCCATCATAAAAAATTAACTTTAAAATAATTAAAATAAACTATTATTTTGGAAAGAAAATCAATAACATTCAAAATATTTTCCTTTATTAATCAATAAATGAACATTGAGTAATAAAATTTGTTTCTTTTTAACCACCTAAACAAAGTGTAACAGCTTAACACAAAATAGCTGAATACTGAAGCTACTGAGAACAACAAATACGTACATGCTCCCATCTATCGCTACCAATGTTCACAAAATATTTGGTGTCTGTGAAGACCCTGAAAGACTAATGCAGAGTTAATTTTCCAATATATTTCACTTGTGAAGAATTAGAAGGAAGTATGGAGAAAGAAAGTGTCACAATAATTTTCTGTATAGTGATAAAGTGTTGATAAAATGGGCAGAATGTAAGATTAAAATTAAATAATAGTTTGAACAATCATCAAGTTTTTATATATTATTATCTAAAGAAGAATGACTTTTCCAGCTAGTGCTCCTCGTCAGATCATAGGTCTGCGAAGTCATTATGGGAACTAAAATGGGCCCCACCTTTGCCAACCTCTTTGTTGGATACACTGAAAATCTTGTATTTAGTCAATACAATGGATCAGTACCCGTGATGTATCCTCGCTCTATTGACAATATACTAGGGATTGAATCCATGCCTAAATCTGATTTAGAAACTTTTGTACACTTTGTTTCCTCTTTCCACCCCTCTTTAGAATTTACTCGGGAAATATCTGACACAACACTCCCCTTTCTCGACACTAACATATACATACAAGATGACCATCTTACCACTAGTATACGTTACAAAAAAACAGATTCACACACATACCTACATTTCGAATCTTCCAACCCATACAGCAACAAAAAGTCAATACCTTACTCACAATTTCTACGACTATGCAAACTATGTAGTGATGATAATGATTATAAATCTAAATCCAAAGACAAGAACTTTTTTATAAAAGGCACTACCCTGATTCTCTCATCCACGATGCAGCTACCAAAGCTAGCTCATATAATCAAGAGCAAACACTCAACCCTACCAAGAAAGAATGCACCAATCATGTTCCACTTGTGTTAACGTACCACAAGACCAACAAGAAGATCAAATATATTATACTAAACAATTAAACAATACTTAACGAAGACCCTACCACTAAATCTCTTTTCAAGGACCCACCCATTATAGACATGACAAAAACCTAAAAGAAATCCTGGTGCTCAGTAACCTTTAACAAAAACTAAATGATACTCCAGGCACTCACACATGTAAACGAAACAGGTATGTCACCTGCCCACATATAAACAGCACTGCACACATGAGGAAAGAACACAACTTTCGACATGAGGCAGTCCTTTACACATACCACTGAATGTATCATTTACTGTATAATTTGCAACAGGTGCAATAGTTTAATACACTGGACAAACAGGCCGCTGACTCAGTGATCGAGCACAAAAACATCTTAACCATATTAAACTCCAGAACCAAGATACACCTATAGGCAAACATTTCACAATCAACAACCATATAGTAGAGGACTTTTTGATCCATGGACTTATTAATTCTCCAACACACATTCACAAAAGATAAAGACTGGAAAGATGATTAATTTACAATCTGGGGACCCTACAACCATCTGGTTTAAATTAATGCTTTTCTTTCCTGTAGATTTCTATTATTCCATTTTTTGTTTAAATTTTAATTGCTATCTACTTATCTTTTCATGACTTGTAATTTTTATGTAATAGATGTAACTTTGGTTTGAATCTTCACGCTCAACATTCCAAATACCATGCATGTAAGTTCTTTGAATTCTGCACGAGCCTTTGTTGTAAACCATATGATCTGATGAAGAGCACTAGCTCAAAATGTCATTCTTCTTTAAATAAAAATATAAAAAACTTGGCAATTGTTCAACCTATTATTTAATTTTGATATTTTTGTCACCTATGTAGTTTTAACTATATTCGTCAGAATGTAAGATTACTCAACCGACCATTATTTCACAGAAAGCAGCTGAGTATGAGTGTGTAATGTGGCTTGAGTTACAAGTCAGGCCTTCTTATAGATGATAAATACTTAGGTGTGATACTTATCTCAACAATCAGGTGCAAGAAGAAGCATTACAGAACCATGTCCCAAGGCAAACCCAAGAACCATCTGGCTGGACCGAGCCATCGGGAATGGCTTGGTACATAACACAGAGGATTATCCTCTATTACACTACTAGTAACAATGCAGCCCAACTTCCCAAATGAGGAATACATCCACTTGGTCTCATACCAGTGGATTGCACTTCAAGATGAGGAACTCTGTATATCAAATTACCCAGAAGCTTGGGAATGGGGAAAATAGGATTTTCCCATACTCCATTATAAAAAATGAGGAAGGAGGAATTCACATGGGAAGAATACTTGAGCAGTATATGGACCATGTCACCAAGCACAATCATTTGGAATTAGATTCCAAAAAATGCAGAACAGCCTAGAAGATAAAATATATAGACGCTGCTACTACATCTTGCAGAAAACCCATCTCAACAGAGATAACTGGGCAGGAGTGGATTTTGGATAAGTATTCCCTATATGGCAACACCAAGCACTAGGTGAGTTCTACTGTTTCTATAATATCCAGGTGTTGTGAAAAAGGCAGTTGGGAGCCATGAAAAAGCAAGAATAAAATAAACAACTCACCATTAAAGTCACTATAAAGAGTGAAGAATGGCAAATGAAGAGAGATAAAAGCCAGATTGTGGTGTAAGTAATAGGACACAAACTTGTTGGGAGTCTTCCACATCACTGCCTGTAAGATTGATGGCTATAGGCAGGAAAAGTTGTGGGATGAGTCTTTATTCAACTGCTAACGTTCTTGGCGATTAATGCGCATGGAGGATGCATCACTTTCCTATTGGTGGAGGGCTACAGTCTAATAATGATTATGTCATAGGCTGACACAATATACATTTACATGTGTAGAGGTGGGAGCTTTGTGCAAGGCTTGTAGCATGCGTAGGAGTGTGCATGAGGTAATATCTTTTCGTTTTGCACAGAGGTGAGTAGCATTTCTGAACTAATGTGTCTGTAAGAATGCTAGTACAAATGACTATAAGAAAAATACATTATTAGTAATATGTTCCATGTGATAAATGTTTTACTTAAATCTAACTTTCTGATTAGTTTCATCAGCTTATTATGTGAAGATTGTGTTCTACTTTGTGTAGTACATATACACATACTCAGTATACTTTGCAAATGGGTGCATTCCTACTTTTTATTCCAGTAAATAGGAGTACAATATCTTTCCTAAACATTTTATATTGAATTAAAACAATACTTCATGGCAGAATGTATACATAATTGCTAACATTTTGAAGCTGAAGAGTTTTATTCCAATTTTAATGTACATGCCTGTCTTTTGCTTTTGTTAGCTGGCAGTCCATTTACTGCATCAACTGTATAATTACATATATATGTACATTAGGGTGCATCAAACACATTAATTTCTTATACCATTATCAGCAAGGTATGTGATTGGTGCCTTCTAATAGTAGTACTTATGTTAGAAAGTTTCAGGCTTTTAAAATTATATCTTGTGCTGCCACGAGGGGGGATATTTTCCTTAAAATATCCATAATCAAAGTATATGAGAAGTCAAAGTACCATAATGTTGGATATGCAACGTTTAGCTAATTTAGGAGTTTTATATCCTAAATTACCCAGAACTCACCATGAGAAGGTAGTTGCATGTCGAGTTCCACCCATGCCCACCCTTCCACTGGGCAATAGAATTACTGTATTATGTATTGTTTCTTAGTATTAAATTTTTTCATAATTTTGCAAGATTGAAGTTTTGCTTTAATGAATCCATTTCTTCTGCGACAGCCACAAACAA